CAGTAAAAATATATTTTTAGGTGGCTTTTTTGTATAGTCTACTTTATTGCATTTTAAAGCAACAAAGAACATAAGAAAAACAGTGGGATTTTTTTTTTTGGGGGGGGGGGGGGGGGGAAAAAAAAAGATAAAGTAAAAAAAAAAAAAAAATAAAAAAAAGGGGGGTTTTTTTTTTTGGGGGGGGGGGGGGGGGCATAAAAGAAGATAAGACTAAACAATAAAAAGCTGTTCTGTTTTGGCTTCCATCAGATTTTGTGTTTATTTCATTTTTCATTTCCTCAAAGCAGTACCAACCTTAATATTATTATTATTGATAGTACAGACTAATTAAAATCTAAATGAAAGCAACAGCACAGATTAAATAGCAAAAAATTTAAACAGTACTTTCAACCAACTTTCCCCACAATGCACTTAACCGAATGCTTAATTCTTTTATCATGAACTTCTAACTATTTTGAGATGTAAATAACATTTTAATTTGTTGAAAAAACATAGAGTGTTAGGTCATAATTTTTTTTTTACATTTGTTTATATCAATTCAGGTCAGCCCATAAGTTCTCCACTCAGGAGCTAGGAGAGGAGGCCTACACTAATGAAGAGGAGATCATAACCAGGTGAGAGTCAAAGTGGAAAAAATGATATTCGAATCACTAAATAAATGGAAAAAACCATGAGTAAATTTGATTCTTTATTTAATGATTAGCAGACTACAGCTATAAAGCCAAATAGTTTTTTTTCCACATTTTATGTTCATTTATCTCAGACTAAACAGAAAGATAAAGTCTCCTGAGTTGTTTTTTTTTATTTTTAACTGTAGCATTTGTGTTGGCTGTCCTATCAAAATCCACCACTATTTGCTATTTGCTATAAGGGGTGCTGGGTGGCCGAGTGGTCTAAACTGAGCAAATCTCATGTTGATGGTCGAGAGTGCAATCCCCACCAAAGCCTAGTCAAGAAAAACATCACTAGCACCCCCAGGTGGATGGGACTTGTTAACCTTGGATGGCAGCTCATCTATGAGAAGAAAACTCAAACCCAGAGATGGAGTCCTGTTGGCAGATTTCATTGGTACAATGAAACATTCCTTAAACTCCTGCGATGCCACTGCCGTATCATCCGCATGATGTCCCCTTGGGTTATCCAGCGGCATGGAGAGAGGCGATTTGCTGTTGGGAACCAGCTTATAATCCTAGAAGAATTATCCTTTGCCTTGTGGATTTCATCCTGCGATTTCCACACCATTGTCACATGGTGACGGACGGATGCCAGCAAAAAAAACAACAATTTGCACAATTTGATAGTTTATACTATATTATTTGGATGTTTATGCCATATTTTTAGGTGCATTATACTACTAAATTGTAAAGTTTTAAAGTTTATAACTATTATGTTGGATAGATTATACTATATTATTTAGTAGTTTATATTTTTTAATTAGATAGTGTATACTGTTTTCTCCTCATGCTTGCATGCTTTCACCTCATCCTTGCATTAATTTATTTTTTTCCACATTTTGCCCAGTTTCTTCACAGAAATGAATGAAAGGCTGTTTCAGACTCTCCTAGATATTTCACAGTCACAAGATCGACAACTTACCTCTGACCACATGAAGAGTATTGGCCTTGACCCTACTGGAGACAGGGCCTTCCTTATGGAGCTGGTAGAGCATTATGGTATTGACGTGGTGCTAATGGTGGATAATCCATGCTGTCCCAAGTAAGCGGTTCATGACATAATGAACTTGTTAATTTGGAAAAAGTGTTTTTTTTACAGGGAAATCGAAAATGTGACTAAGCTATGGGCTTTAAACGGTTTGGAAATTAGATATGAAAATTGCTACATCATGATTATAAACCAGTTTTTTTTTTCAATGTTGTGAGCATTATAAAACTTATGAATTTGGATAGAATATGCTGACACTGCTTTCACCCAATGTTGTTTATGTTGTACAATAGTAAACTCATTATTTATTTTAATAACTATTAAAACTGCCATTTATTAGTGCAAATTTTCAATTTAGACTGTCCTGAGACATAATAAGGTTTTACAATGAAATAAGATGTAAAAGTATCAATAATAATTTATAAAGTGGCTACTGATTTGAGGAGAAAAAGTAATTTGAAAGTAAACTATTTGATGATAGCTGTGACCATGGACATACACATGCTGAATTGAAAATTATTAATTCTTAGAAGCATGTGTACTGTAACTAGATAACTTAAGCCTCATAGAATTTTTAAAACTGTACACTTATAACTTATTGGTTCTGGTTCATTCCAATGATAGCTATTTATCAACATTCCATAAAAGAGAACATCAAAAATTGTATTAAAGAATAATTAAATTGGAATTAATTTGAAACTCAGTTTTAATTCCAATTTATTAGAAAACATGCTGAAAAGTTTTGTTTTGATGATACCATAAGGAGGTATATTAAAAAAAAAAAAATATTTTCATTCTGAATTCCTCCATCACCCATTCTGATTTGTTAAAATTTTGTTATTTGACTGGCCATTGTCTTAAAAATCAGTATTTATTTAAATTTTTTGATTTTATAGAATTTTGGTTAACATTGGAAATTAAATCATGTGAGCTGGTGTTAACAAAAAGAAAAAAAGTGATGCTTTAATAATTTTAAATAATATTCATTCCCATTAATCTAAGCATTAAATTTGCATTGCTAATCTTATGGACTGGAGTTTTTAATTTTAAAAAATCTCATTGTTGTTATAAATCCCAGCAATTGTTTCATTTAAAACAAAAAAGACTATATCTTTTACAATTCTGTGATGACACTGAATGATCAAACTTTATATATATTTCTTTTTTATTGGTCAGACAAGACTGTGCAATCCATTATGCTCATTAGCATATTCTCTTACTTTGAGTAAACGAGTTAAATTTAGTAATTTCTATCTGGAATTAGATATTGTCTGCTTATCCATTTTTCCTGCATCAGCCACAATGGCATACACAAGCTGATGTTTATTACATTGTTTTGGTCATAGAAAACCAAGAGATATTTTGTGTTAGAATTGACAGTGAAAAATCCAGTAGCCACTCTACATAAAAAGTATTATTGCAAAGACAAGTTTATGAGTTGTTGGTTGAGAATGAACACAAAACTTCTATGACAATGTTACTTGATGTGAAAGTGAGGAAAATTAAAAGTTTTGAATGCTATGTGATGGTGTTGATGAATTTATTCTCAATTTAAGTAAGAATTCTGCAGGCCAGACTGACTTAAAAATAATGATACGGGTTCAGGCAATCAGGTATAGGAGCCAGAATGATCAATTCATTGATCGTGGGCCCTTAAAATAAAGAAGAAGAAGAGGTTACACAGTCTTAGATAATTAAATTTTTTAGGCTTTTATTCAGCTGGAAAACCATTTGAAACTAATGAAAACATTTTAAAAAAAAACATGTTAGAGGATGGCTTCAGAAATGTAAGATTTTAAGGAGGGGATTAAATTTAAAAAAATATAGCTTCCACTTCAAAAATGTGTGAAATTTAATTTGTTTCTGTGTCTTTAAGTATGCTTCTGTTCAGTAAACCATATTAAAAAAAGTCTAAAAAGCTGTGCATGTTCTCGCATGTGTCTACACATCTCATAAATGTTTAATATGCTTCATTTGCCATTTATAATTATAATATTGTATATGTAATTTGAGGATATGTTGAAAAAGTGAGATTGAAAACTTTAAAGTTTTTCCAAAGTTTTACACATTTTTTTTGGAGAGTTTTGTTAATTCTCATTTTACCAATCTTTATGTTTTTTCCATTTTATATGGCTGTGAGAATAAATTTGTTCACTTCATGTTTTTTAAATGAATATTTTCATTGGTAAAGAACATTCAAGTACTCAATGTATGATAAAATTGTGGTATTACATTAAAATGATATAGTTTAGAGTTATTATATAAGCTTTTATGAAAATAATTTTATTTTAGCTCTTATGAAATTAATTTTTCCCCGTGCATAGATATTTTATCTTATTATTTAATCAGCTATTAATATTATTATTTTAAAATTTATTTTTTTGTAGTATTGTTATCATGTAATTTGGATGCAACATTATCACAATTAATTTTGTGTATTTTTTATGGATATTCATGTCTCTCACTGAAAAGTGAATGCTACTTTGATTTTGTAACGGTGAGATACTTCATCCAGTTTACCTGTCTTGTGGAAAAAAACAAAAAAAACAACTTCTACTTAACAATATTCCTTAAGTTAAAATAGTGAGTAGAATTTATACTATTGTGTAAAGCAATGATTCTAAATTGAAAAGTTGAGATGGACAGTTGTAGACATTCAAGCATTACATGTTTCATTAAAATATTTATCTTTTCAGATATTGTAACAATATTACATTTACATTTATTTCAGAGTGGAAATTCTTAAAAAATATGTATTTTAAGTCCTTTCTTTTTTGTGTTGTTATTTTGTGCTATTTCCTTTCTTTGTTTTATTTTATTTTTCCATAATTTTTATGTTGGCCAATTTCTATTTCTGCAGTGATGTTTACAAACTCATCTGTTCCATGAATGTACTTTACCAATTTGGTGTGCAAACAAAATTGAATGTACTTTACCAATTTGGTGTGCAAACAAAATTGAATGTACTTTACCAATTTGGTGTGCAAACAAAATTGAATGTACTTTACCAATTTGGTGTGCAAACAAAATTTAAAAGACTTTGGAGAAATTGATAAATCAAATTTTTTAAATTAATTTAAAAGAAACTATAATGAAATTTATTGATATTATCATCCCCATAATTTGTTTTTTTAAATGCATTTTTTGAAGCAATAACTGGCTTTATGAGGATTAATTTTGAATTTGTCACACCTCTTTTAATCATCAGTAGAAATGACTTTAAATGAATCAGTTGAAAAGAAGACTCTAAACCAGTGTTTCCCAACATGGGGCCCACGCCCCAAAGAGGGGGCAGTTTGATTGTTTACGGGGGCAATTTGATTGTTTAGGGGGGGGGGGCAATTTGAAAATGAGCTCAGGTCTAGAATTTGAAAACCAACAGTCTACTATGATTAACTTGAAAAAAGAGCAACATTAAAGTCTCTATTTACTGCTCATACTGCCACTGTCAATCTTACTCTTGAGGCTAGTTATGACATTTCCTTATTCATCGCTAAATCTGGGAAAAAACCATACTATAGGAGCAGCATTTCTTAAAACGGTTATGGAAAAGACATGAGAGCTATGCCACTCAGTAACAATACTGTTAGCACAAGAATAGATGAAATGAGTGAAGATATTAAAATACAACTTGTTGAAAAACTGAAAACAAGAAAAGTCTCAGTGCAAATGGATGAATCAATTTTGAGAGACAATGAGGCTGTATTGATAACTTGCGTAAGATATATTGATAAAGGGTATTTTGCTGAAGAAATGTTGTTATGTAAATCAGTGGTCACCAAACTTTTTATCGCCGCAGACCGGTCAACGTTTGATAATTTTACCGCGCCCGCTGAGGGGTTGGGGTGTTGACTGTTAATATTTTTGATTGTTTTGATTTATAATTTTTATTTAATTGTAGTAAACCTTCAAGATACAATACAGTTACACCTAAAAGGAATATAAAGTGATTTAACTTCATAACTCACCATAACGCTAAATCAATGAGAACCCTGAGTTTGTTTTCTGTAACGAGACGGTTCAATTTGTGGGTAATAGGAGATAATGACACCCGAAGTGTGTTGCTGATGTCCAGTTTATTTTGTTGTTTTGGTTGCTGTCACGGAGATAGCATGTAGAAAATGGCAATAGGGATTTAAATGCTGTGGTGGCAATCTCAGTGTATTCCGCCATTACTTTAATCCAGAACACCGGCAGAGTTGTCTCAAACGTAGTTTTAAGGCTGCCGTAATTTGCAATCTCCAGCAGTTGATCTTCTTCTTGCCCAGACATACTAGATTTGCCTGGTTTATTGACAAATATGTCACAGATATATATATGTCCCAGTTCGTGGGTCTTTTGTGATTGGGAAGTAGCGCTCTAACTCTTAGATAAACAAAGACAGTTGATTGTGCACCAACTGTGAGAATGAATGCTCAGTCTCGCCTAAAGTCCCCGCTAATGTTTGAAACATGTCCAAAATGCCTCTGTTCACGCGCCGTCCCTCAATTCCAGTTTGGTTTTAAATGCAGCTACTTTGTCGGCCGAATTGAAAACAGTTGTCATTTTCCCCTGAAGAGACAGATTGAGTTTATTGAGCAGGTTGAATATGTCACACAGGTAAGCCAGTTTTGCGGCCCATACCATGTCACCGAAATTTGCTGCCAGGGGTGACTTCTTTTCTGAGAGAAATCTTTGCAATGGCTCTCGTCATTCAAATACTCTGATTAGCGATTTTCATCTGGATAACCATCTTATTTCTGCGTACAAGAGAAGGCATCTGTACTCTGCGTCCATCTCTTCACAAAGCTGCTCAAACAGGTGCGATGTAAGTGCGTGTTCTTTGATGTGGTTAACTCAATCAATAAATACGCTATTAAATTCCGGTGACATTTTTTGGCTTGCCACCATTTCTCTGTGAATTCTACAATGCGTAGATTCACTCTCAGGAGCAACCTCCTTAATCCGAGCAGTTAAATCTGACAGTTGACCGGTCATGGCAGCAGCTTTTCTTCTGTGCATATGCCGATAAAAAAGGACCAATTTAGTTAGCCTGATATATAACCATCCAGTGACTGGAACAGTTCTGCTCCTGTGGTGTTGTTTGGCAAAGATTAGTGCACATAACAATTCATCATGCACATCCTCCTGATGAAGATATCGCACATAAACAAGTAGTATTGCCTTGTTGTCGATATGTGTAGATTCGTTATCCTGGAGTGCGTAACACAGTGATGTATTAATCCTCTCCAACAATTGTGTCTCAATGTCTTCGGCTATTTCCTCAATGCGCCTAGTCACAGTGCTAGCCGACAAAGTCACATGCGCTATCTTTTTAACAGCAGTCTCTCATAGAAGTTTACTGAAAATGTCTTTAGTGGATGGCAAGATCAATTCTTTATTGATAGTGAAAGGCTTTTTAGCCTTAGCAATACGGTTAGCCACCAAATATGATGCTCTCAGTGCATTCTCCTTTATTGATGGGGAGGCCCTCAGAAATTTTGCTGTTCTTCATGTTCCCGTTTTTTTCTTTCAGAATAGTCCAGAGCGCTTGGCGTTCAAGTGGCGAAGCAGTTTTGAAGGTTTCAATGCCTCATTAGATAGCCGGTCGCCGCAAACTATGCAGAGTGGGATTGGTGTGTGGGAATCACCGGTCCCTATAATTCCATATTTCAAGTAGGACTCATGGTATTGTCTTTTAAAAGTTTTATGTCATTTCTTTGATGTTGAAGGCTTTTCTGTCACTTCACTGCGCCTTTTCTTCAATTTTGAAAATCCCGGTTTTCATACATCCTATTAATTCCTATCCCAGTATTTTTAGCATCCTTTATGATCCGGTATTTTCGAGATTCGGGATCCTGGATTGCAACCTCTACTAGCTAGCTATCGCTTTGATAGTACTCAGTAGTAGCAGTAGTACAGTAATATTTCTTCCATGTGCTAGTTCAGTGGTTCCTAGAATGTTTGATTCCCGGCGCTTAAGCTGAATTTAGGTTTTCATCATTCCTTTGCAGCTCTCTCGGATACTACTTTTCAGTTCAAGCTATTTTTATTTTTATTCTGTTTTTACTGTTGTTTATTCGCTGCGGAGGAAATGCTGCACTTAGGGCGAAGCAGGAAAGTTGTACTAATTAATGCATAGAAAAAGTGCCCCCGGGGCGGATCAATAAAAAAAGACGATTTTTGGCCCCCTTCGTCTTTCTGCAATATTTGGGATTTGACATTTTTTTATTCACTATTAAAATCATAAATAAAGAATAAGTTGGTGCCCGCTGTGACTGCCCTCCTTGCCCCATTCTCATGGCTATGCCTGAGGGCAACATGGCACCCAGAGCGACGCATTTTATGGGGACCACTGGGCTGGCCTAATTGTCGGCTGTATAAACAAGCGACTCATTTTTAAAAAAAATTGTTTAGCCCTCTGACATCACAATTACCAATTAAATTTTTTTATGTCTTTGTGTTTTTTTAATAGGGATGGGGCTAAAAGCTACTCGTACATATGAGTTTGGGGGTGGGGGGAGTGTCCAAAAAAAATCAAGTACAACAACACTATCCCCTTCACCTTTGTCGGTATGGTTCCAGTTGCTGTGAGCCTTTGTCTCTGTATGTCCGTACTTTTCATCCAGAAAATCTAGTAAGCTTATAAAATGGAAATAATTTAATGTTTTTTGGGAGGCCCTGCACCATTTGATCCACGGACCGGTAGTGTTTGGGGACCACCGATGTAAATCATTATAAAGCACCACTACCGCCAAAGGTATATATATATAATAAGTTAAAAAAATAATTAGATGTCAACAATATAACAATTAAAAATATAACATCTTGTGCTGCAGATGGTGCTCCTAATATGTTGGGCAAGAAAAATGGCTGCTTAAAATTGGTGAAAGATGAGAATCCAGAAATGCTATTTTTGCATTGTGTTATTCATAGGGAAAACATAGTACATGTAGTTAAAAACATTTGCCTGTTCCAAATGAAGTGCTAACTTCAGTTATAAATGTATCAATGTATGAAAACAAAATGTGAAGTGACTGATACCGCTATACTTGTTATTGTAGATCATCTGAAAATTCTATTGGCTGATTTAAAAGAAATAATTTTAGAAAGGCTTAGGTGGGGCATGGCACAAAAATGGTTGGGAAACAATGCTGTAAACAAAGAAATAGTGAAGTCGCTTAGATCATAAAAAGCCACACGTACTGCTGCTTCATTGTTAAGTTTGATTCCAAAAACAAATACTTTATGATCAAAGTTAAGCAAAAATTATCAATTGAATAAAAGGACCAAATGGAATTCCAAATTATAATAAGTTTTTTCAGTCAGCTCACTTACTTTTGATTTGCTCGATGTTTTAAAAATCTTAATGTTAACACATTTATGATCATCATGTGGTAAAGCCATCAGTTGTTTAGTAAAATGAAGCGGTTTTATCCAGAATTTTGTCTTCAACAGCAGCAGCACTAGGGTGCGACTAGGTTCACTTAAATCTACAAATGAATGACCTTACAGTTTGCAGTGTGTTTATCAAGCTAGGGCATATTTTAGTCCCTAGGGGAAATATATTTACATCTTAAAAGGGAGTTTGGGAGGTGGTGAAATGTTTTGATAGCATGAGAGTGGGGTAACAATAAACCTATTTTGGGGCTCAGGTGGTGCAGAAATTGTTGGGAAACAATTTGCAGGTAAAACGAAATACCAAATCATTTTGATTTATTATATTCAAATTTTGATCTACGTGTTGTGAGATTATTTTTGTTCAGTTTCCCAAAGACTCACCTTGAGTTTCAATAAAGTCATAGTGGTTTAAAAATAGTTAACTTTTAAACATTGTAAATTATAATTTGCTGTGATTCCCCCAAAAGTATGTATTAATTAAAATGATTAAGCAAAGAAAATCTCTTCTTTCCAATATATTTATTTAAAATACAATGAATAATATGGGTTCCTCATCCCTCTGTGGACTCAAAAATGGTGGTCCATTGCTCTTAACTATGTTTCAAACATAAGAAAATGTTTATTAATTTTAATGGAACAAATAAATCATTAAGGTTAGGATTTTAACTTACACCAAAATAAAAATAACTGAATAAGATACTATATATTTATTTGAAATATTTGATCACATCAAAAAAAAAATCTTTTTAATGAGGGGATATTACAGGTTAAATTGTTTTGTATACAGGACTTTTATACTAAAAGGTTGAAATATTTTGGATTAAATGAGTCCATTTTGTGGTTGAAGTGTGGGCTATCAGATGGTGCACTAACTACACAAACTTTGAATGGAACTTAAATGGAAGATCAAGGTTTCTTGAAGGCTATTTGGCTTGCAAGAAAAAAACATAGCTGAAATCAGTGATCTAGGGCCAACAGGGAACTTTCGTAAAATTGAGGCGAGAACTGCAGTCTCATCCACTGCTTTCTAATGCGAAGTACCGGTATGTTGTTCTTTGCATAAGCCCGTTTTACGTAAGTATAAAGCCTTGCCTAAAGTTTATGATTAATTATCAGAAATATAATATAAATAAATAATTTTATTAGGCAAAGATTGCCTTAAATATTATGCTTGTGTTAAATTCATTGAACTGGCTTTTTTATTTTATAAAAATTTTAATCTAAAAAAAAACCAACATAACAAAACAAGATTTTCTTTATAATATTTTTTTCTTCCATATAAAGCAAAAGAAAGGGCAAATAAACGTCAGGAATGATTTAACTAGCACATGAAAATTGGACAGAATGAAATATTAGTCTGGAAAATGGACAACAGGAGATATTTGTCTGGCAAATTTATCAATATTTTCAATCAAAATCTCAATGCAAATACCCAGAAATACAAATCTTATGCTAATATGTTTTTTTTTTACCAGCAAAAATGTACAAAACAGGTTTGAAACAATCTTTTTAATTTAATATCAACCTACCATTTTAATGTTATCTCTTGCAACAATGAAAATAAAAAGCAAATGAAACAATTATAGATTGAATAAAAAAAAGAGTTATAGAATAAAGCAATATCTAATAAAAATTTTTACTTTTAATTTCCACACTAAATAGTAGTATATTAAACTCAGCACAGTCTGGGTGGAAGATTGTAGGGCAGGAAAATAATTTGCACATCAAAATAATTAGAAACCCCAAATGTCTATTGTACAGTTTTTAAAAATATACTCCTTAACAAATCATTTCCAAAAACATTTAATATCTTTACACAGGAGACTCAACAGGACGAGTTCAACATTTAACATCTTCAAAAACAAGTTCCTGTTTAAGTTTATATGAAAGACAAATACAATAACAAGAATCACAATAACTTTTAACAAAGACAAGAAAAAAAATATCAAGTAAATTTTCTTCTTGTTTTTTTTCAAGAGGTGCCAATATAAAGTAGGTAATAAAAACAGTCCTAAATATCTAGTTATTTTTGAGTAAGCAAAATATTTGCCTCAAGACATTTCTGAACAGAAAGAATCCTGTCAATCAGATTGAATAGCTAGGTCCATAAGGATATATCAATACTGTGGTCGTTAGGTTAGGTTTATTTCAACCACCATGTCCAAGACAGGTGTAGAATAACCATGTATAAAATGCAGCAGTGGTAACATGCCATGCCAAAAATAGCTTACTTAAAGTTCATGCTATATAAATAATGAAAATATCAACTGTAAATGTAATTAATAGATGGTATTTAGATATATTTACCTATATTAAAATTCAAAACAATATATTTATTATTAAATTATTAAATAAAGTAAATTATGCCCCCTCAAACCACTTATTAAAAAACATGCAGGAATTCATCAGGGATTCACCGGATAAAATGCATTTAATTTGATAGTAAAAAAAATTAAATAAATGCAGCAAATAATGCCAATTTAGAAAAAGATTGACGGCAACATTTGATTTTAACACAAAGGATTTACATAAAAATTGTAGATGAATAAATTAGAAATTTCAAAATCTTACATTTCAGTATTCCTAGTTACAGCTTTTATAGTTAATTTTGATTGGGGAACAAGTCTGCAGAGAGATTCTAAAAATATATAATAAACATGAACAGCCCTTACTAATTATTTAGCAGGTGTTTTAACAATTATTTAACAAACATAAAACCATAAATATGATCTCATTACCATTAAATTCTCAGGTAACACGTGTGATTTAAATCCATCTAGATATGGCACAGCAGACTGGGTTTCCATGAAATAAATCAAAATACGAACTCTCCTATTTTTTCCCCTCTCATCATATCTCAACACATAGATATCTGAAGTGCATTTTAAACTGGATGACATTAAATAAATTGAAATTTAAAAAACGTTCAGCCAGTCAAATAATTCTAGTAAGGAAATTCTTTATATGGGATTCATCAAATCACTACCGGTTATGCCATTAAGAAGAAAAAAACTAAGGTTTCCGTATCTGAAAGGCAAGTTAAGTATCTATTTTCTTTACCATACTAATTTTAAGTGGATTCTATTTCTATAAAATGTTCAAACTTTAATTTATATGGTAAACTAAAAGAGATCTGAACAACTTAACTATATGGAGTCTATCATCTTCACTTTATGTCTATATTCACTCCAAGAAATCTATCTTCCCTATATGGAGTCTATCTTCACTATCTGGAACCCATCTTCACTATATGGAGTCTATCTTCACTATATGAAACCCATCTTCCCTATATGGAGTCTATCTTCACTACATGGACTCTATCTTCACTACATGGAGTCTATCTTCACTCTATGAAGTCTATCTTCACTATATGGGGTTTATCTTCACAAGAGGGGATCAACTGACGTCAACATCTTATTAACCTTTTAGTCATTAAGTCTGGGCTCATCGAGTCATTATATGTACATAAGCTAAAGCCTATAAACAACCTAACACACAGGGAACAAGCTCAGCATCCATAACACAGAAAAGAAATACTATTCAAAAAACATGTTGGGGGAGGGGGGGGAGAGAGAGAGCGCACTTTTTTTTTTCTCCTTCAAAAAATAAACCAACAAGAAGACTCTACAAGTTGCCACTGCTACTAGGATAACAACAAACTTAATGCTCAGTAGTTATAGGAGTGAAGACTTCATTCAGCTGCTGTGTCACTCTAATAAAAGTTGTCCTCCTGCTCAACTCCTTCAGCTTTGAAGCCCCAACGTAAGTGCATGTTGAACGCACCCCTCCCAGTATATCTTGTATGGTAATTTCAACATCTCCTCTGTAGGGTATTGTCACAGTCTTGCCTTCAGATGCTCTGTTAATTAAAAATTACCACTTATAATAATTTGTTGCTCAAGTAATGAGAAGAGGGTGCACAAAGAATTAAGTGAAAAGAAAAATATTTTTGAAAACAATTTCTCAGAAAGTCTCAGTGAGTAAAACAATGTGACTTAAGGGGGCAGGCTACCAAAATTTTTTTTTTTTAATTAACCAACTTAGAGCAATTATTTTATTATGGTCATGTTAAGCTATGAATGGAGATATATTTTCATGCCTTAAAATAAAAAAAAATTATATAGTTGCCATGGCAACGGCGGCCATCTTGAAAATAATACCCATTCGTAGAGTTCTAAAATTTTAAAAACAAACATACATATTGCTTAAAAATTGATTGATTCATCAACTTCAATTATATTTAGAGGTACTGAGCTAGTTTAATTTCCTTAAAACTTTTCAAAACATTTTTTTTTTAATTTTTAAAATTTGCCTCGGCAGAAAACGCTTAAAATTTACCATCCTAGGATATGAAAAAAATTATTTTAACAAAAGTAATTGACCAAATTGATTTTTGAATAGCTCATTACCCACAAAATAGTTAAAGGAAGATACACACCAAATTTTATTACTCTAGCTTGTATATTAGCTGAGATTTTAGAATTCTACGTTACAAAACAACAGAAAAAAACAATTTTGAGAAAAATCAATTTTAAACTTTAAAAGTGAAAAATTTTAAGTTTAATATGAAAATGAAGTTCTTTTACATAGTTTTTTTTGTTCAGCAACATGGACATGGTGGTTTCTTATATTATTGAACTGTTGAATGCACCAGGAACATGGGTTTTAACTTCTTGAACTTCATCAGGTGCTCTCGTCAAAATCACAATTTTAAACAAAAAATTTTTTTCCTCTGGAATAAAGCTAATTTGTGTTGTATTAGAATTTTTTGTTCAGCATTATAATATAACACAAGTTATCCAAAGTCCCCAATCAACCCTTTTGTCCATGATCCTTTTAACCATGCTTAGATGACAAGGTTATGTTGCTGTCACCATCACTGAAATTAAAGCATAGTTTCATGGCAGCAATGCTATGTTGAAACTTTTGTACCTATTCTGTGTACTTCTTTCATCAAAGATGTCCCTCATACCAGAGGTGAATGAGTTATTTGTCTATTAGAAATGTAATAATTGGGAAGATACTTGCTCATAAATGTTTCATGTCTTCGGCATAGCGCAGTTTTTATACTTTGCGCAGGTTATAAATTTTGCGGTGCAGCTGGATTGTTTATCGCAGATATCATAGATTGCAACTTTTCATAGTCCATGCCATTGTCCTTCAGGCCTTAGAGTCTATAATTGATAATGACTTGGTTATCCAGTTGTTGATATGAACAATCTAACCACTCACAATCTAGTCATTGTTATGTTCATAGTATTTACTATTTTGTTTTGCAATCAGCTGTAAGTTATGGCTTCTGCAATTCGTCCATTCCACTGCAGACAGAAGAAAATTGGTAAAAGCTTTGAATTATGATCATTTCGAAATCAATGTTTAGCAGTCCCTCTGTAGAATTCTTGTCACTGAAGAATTTACTTTTGCTCGGCTCGGTAGAACTAATTGGGGGCTGGAATGGAATTAAAAAATTATATAAACATTATTTAGCAAATAATATATTGAAAATGATCTCAATAAGCCTATTAGTATTATTTAGATGTTTAGGATTGCTAAACTAAATACTTATTTTATTATAATTACTATTATTAGTCAATTGAACTGATCTTATAAATAAGAAATAATATAAAACTAATTAGCTATTACTATTAATAATTGTATGCAGATAAAAAAAATGAATAAGGCTAAGATTAAACTATTTGAGTTAAAAGATTCTAATACGAATTATTTTCCCCATACTGCTAATGCTAATACCATGCCATAATTATAGTAGTATTACGGCATATTGCGTTGTTGTTTTAGTCCTAGTCCTAGCCTTAGTCTTAGCCTATGCTATTACTTTGAACTACTCGATTATTTATCAATGTTGTTTTGTTAGACAACTATAAATAAATAGGCTTAGGATTCATATAATTTAACAATTCACTTGATTGGTAAATATAAAGACTAATAGTAGAAACTTATGTAATTCTCCGCATAAGGCATAAGCTAAACATAAACTCACAAACAATCCACACGCACGATCAATCATCAAGGCAACACAGTGACAGTACTGACGTCCGAACTGAATAATTTCAACTATCACCGATTGCATGTTGCTAAATTAAGGTCATTTTTTTAGTATACTTACCTTGAATTTCTGGCTTTTACCGAATGGGTAAGGTTGTAAACGTGTATTTTAAAATCAAAATATGCTGATGCTTTCGTTTGCAAAATGTCGTTCTGTACACAGAACCATGATCCGGTAAACACGCATAAACAACGCATTTGCGCATGCGCGAGTCAACGGTATCTTGGTTACCCTCGGTTCGGACCAATGAAAATCGGTAAAATAATTATATAAATAGAAGTGAAGAAAATCCTACACACACTTCGCTTGTGGATCCGATTATTTGTAGCAATTATATTTACTGACTTCGATTCTAAAAATAAAAAAAACTGCTTGAATTTACCTTTACGTTGATATATAATAATAGCATATTATGTTATTTAAAACTAGTTTTTTGAGGTCTCAAACATGGGATATGTATGAATTTTATTTTATTTCCAAAATTAGGTCAATTTTTAGAGTGGGGTGGGGTGTTAAATATCAGTTGTTTCACAACAAATCTTTTAAAAAGTAGTATCAATTGATATGTAATCGATTCTAAGAATGTTTATCTTCGTAAAAATGAAAAAATAAAAAAATTGACAATTTTTGAAAATTTTAGATATTTTCGGGCGCCTAACCCCTTAACAATTAAACCTGAAACAGTATGAACAGGATGATCAGGGTACCAACAAGCAAATGGAACCAAACCTACTTACCGATATTCAGCCACGCCACCTGCATGCTTTTTCATGGCAGTTGCTGAGCTCATGCCGTAGAACAACTTGAACTTCTTACCATCTCTCTCGATGATTTCCCCACCTGACTCAGTGTGACCAGCCAACATGCCACCCAGCATCACAAAATCTGCCCCAGCACCAAAAGCTTTAGCAACATCGCCAGGACATGTACAGCCTCCATCCTATGCAAAACATAACAAGTAACACTTTAATGAGACCTACATAACGTAGTCTTTCCTAGAAATGAAATGCTATGTATTGAGGAGAAACAGGCAATAACTAGATTATTTCTTTTCTTTGCATATTCCAAAGGAGTTTATGCCATTAATAAGGCATTTCCAGGCATTCCGGTTTGCTATATATGGACCTTTCCAATCTTTATTACAGCCTTGTTGACCTCTCTACACCAGGTGTTTTTGGGTCTTCCTCAACCTGGATGGTGGGGGTGGGGGGTGGGGGTGGTGGTGGTGTTTTCACACCAGTGCTTGTCTTGTTATATTATGCACATAGGTTTTCTCATGAGATGACCTGGCTTTGAAATTGATCAGGCTAACTATGGGAAATGATAAAAGTATGTTGACCAAGAGCATGTCAAATTCTCTTTTAAAAAATAAATTTTGTCTGTGGTCTGAGAAATGACGATTTGACTTTGCCACTTCAGCTCTGGTTCTTTAAGATTAAATTTGATGATTATTGTTTTTAAATCTATGAAATGGTCCCAACTATTTCTGCAACATGCTAAAAAATGTAATTCAATTAGCATACAATTAACGTTAAATAAAAATATTAAAAGAGCTCTTGGAAAAAAAAAGACAAAGGCTTTACTTTGAGTTTTTCACATAATTCCAGAAGGGAAGAAAATAGCAGCATGACAAGAAGATCATGCATAGATAGCTTTACAGTGCTTTCAAGTGAGGTATATGACTCAAAGTTTCAGATCCAACATTAAATTTAGTGCAACTCACTGATATGATATGTCCACCCAGGCCATGAGCAGCATCAGCACATTCAAGGACAGCACTCAGCTGAGGGTAGCCCACCCCAGTCTTCTTGCGGGTTGTACACACTGAGCCGGGCCCGATGCCAACTTTAATCACATCTGCACCAGACAATAAAAGCTCTTCAACCATCTCACCAGTAACAACATTACCTGCCTAGAAAAAAATAAAAAATTAAAGACTTACAGTTTGAGGTAATGCAGTAAGCTTTTTGTAAATCTATGAATTACAAAGAAATGAAATGGTTATTCTTAAATGACCATAGGCAAAGTCCTAAAATCCTCTCGTCAGTTTTAGAACCTTTAGAACCATGGCTCCAATGTATTCTAGCAATAATAATTCTACAGAAATACATTTATTTTTAGGGTTAAATTCGTATGTCTTTAACTTTCACAATTTTTACCTGGCAATTGTATCTTATCACATTAGTCAGCCATTTTTGCCAAGTTGACTGTTGTCTTCCACTTTGGCGGTATTTAGTTTTTTTGTTACTGTACTCAGGAGGGCTTACCTCCTCCCCAAGGATATCTGCCTTACTTAGCCGAGTCCATTCCATAATGCTATTTAACCTACTCCTGGGGGAAATCCTAGTCAAATCTGAACCCACAAACTCTTGGATGAGAGGCATACAGCATGACCTTTTCACAAGGTGTTTTAAGTTCCATTTTGAAAATAAAAATCTCACAAGAGCAACTCACTATTATGGTATGCTCGGGATATTTTTTCCTGACATCACGAACAAATTGAACAAAATGCTCTGAGTATCCATTTGCAACATCAATGCAAATGTAGGTTATCTCTGGCACAGCCTCCAAAATGGCACTCAGTCTCTCCAGGTCTCCATCTCCAATACCAGAACTGGCTGCTACAAACTGAAATTTTGAACATTTTGAAATGAAGCATGGGTAAGTGGTAAGATCAGTGGAGCTTCCTGTTTATCATGTAACATTACATTTAAGACATGTAAAACAAAAATCCATTCCTCTAGGTTATGCAGACAGACACAGACACATTTTCTTTAATTTTGGAAAACAAGTTTTAATTAATATGCTTTCAAATATTTGTGAAAAACACAACTAATCCATTAAAAGTTTTTGTTCGGTACATAGAGAGATGTATTTTTCTGACAACACAACAAATTTACATTAAGATAAAATTTCTTTGAATAAAGCCAGAGATAAAACTTGGTATTTACGTGAAACATCTACAAGTAGTGAATTTTGTTATACCTCAAGAGTGCTTTTGTTGTTTGAAGCAAATTCTTTCCACTCATCAACAGAATAATGTTTATGAATGGTAGTAAACATTAGGTGCTGAAATATATATCCATATATGAATATCAAGTTACTTAATCATAAAAAGGTAATAAAATAAACAATTTGCATTGTATTTGTATCTTATCAAACATTAAGAAGTAACATATCCTACTATAATCAAAGAATGTATTACTTGATGGAATTGTAAATGTGATAATTTTGTAACCCTTTGAAACTTTCTGTATGAGGATTCAGACTTGTGGATGTTTGTAATGGAATTTATTTTTCTCATAATTAAGCTTAAAACAATCCTTGTTAATTAAAATAACTGGATTAAGCCAGGTCAAGAATTCTTTGATACTTAATTTGGGATACCTTTGCCATTTGTTTGGCCATTTCGAAAGTACCAACAGTGTCCATATTAGCAGCAACAACTGGAATTCCATTGTAAGTCTTTTTAGAGTTCCGAAAAATAAAGGATCGGGTTAAGTCCACCTGAGAAATAACAGATTGGATTAGTCAGTACACTATACCTTGCAATTTCGGACATCTGTTTTAATGGAGAAATGTTTGCAATTTGTGAAAATCCCCAAATCATCAGTACTGTGCTGTTTTCAAGGCAGGCTATCATAGGCCAATATATTAAAATTCCTTTGTCAAAAGGTGTTAAATAATTTTTATGACTAATTGAACTTGAACTGTAGGAACCTTTAAATAATTATATCAGTAAAATAAAATTTAGAGAGCGATGACTTTATATTATTTGGATGGGAGTTGAGACTAGAAAATCAACAATAGGATTTGAGGTGACAATTATTGCAGAAAGTGTGTAGGGATTTAAGTTTCTACCATATTCTGGCAACTGTGATGAAATCAGGATGAATCCTCAAATTTTATTTACTGTGGTGTAGTAAACACACCTTGCTAGAATTTACCCCCCTTTTTTTAGTATTAGTTATTTTCCTTTTTATTTTTCATTGTCATCTTAGATCCAGCTCACATAGCATATTCAAACCTGTCAGCAAAGTTTACAATCAACACACACCCCCCCCCCACCCCTAAATTGAGTTAAGAAAACAGGGATTTGATCATGCCTGCACAACTTATTTCATTGACCATGATCACCCTTATGATCAAAATGTCAGTCTAGGATTATTTCCCCCATTTTAGATATAAGCCCTATTGAACCACAATTTCTTCCTTTTCCCAACTTGCCAAGCACAAGGCACACATCGCTCCCTCTTGCTAATCTCATGTGTGAGAAAATCAGTCAGCAAATTTACCTAGTGAGTTTTGAGCCATCGATTTTGATCACTTTACTTAATACATTTAAATACTATGACTTTAAATAATATTGCTTTAATCATGTCGATCTATGATCAATGTTGTAGAAATTAATAAGTATGATCATTGTGTTTTGCCATTAATTATATATANTAATATATATATGGGATGAAATTCTCGTGGGGAATATATATATATATATACTTAATATATATATATATATATATATATTGGCCACGAGAACTTTATCTCATCTTAGAGATGGTGAAGTAATTTTAGATATTTGTTATCCCAATAAGACTACAGGATATACTATATGAATACATCACAATACATGTATTGTTTTATATTAATTGTGTAATTTGATTGAGAAAATCCATTTGCCACCATCGACAATGGTAAGGATTAACAATGTTATCAACACATTGGATGTTTATGTACAAGGGTGACTGGGTGGTCAGGTGTTATCTGAATCAATCCCAACATTGTGGTCAGGAGCTCAATCCCCACAAGTCAGGCACCCCGGATGAATGGGACCTGCTAAACTTGGCTGGCAACTCATCTAAGAGCAGGAAACTCTGAACCAGAACCTGGAAAAGGAGTCCCGTATACATTAATACAATAAAAACTTCCGACAACTCCTGCGATGCAACTTGTGTCAAGTTGTATCATCCATGTTTGGTGTTCCCTTGGGCTATCCAGGTGCGTGGAGAGAGGCAATTTGTTGTCTAGGGAACCAGCATATAGTCTTGCAAAGTCCACACAATCGTCACATTGTGACAGACTGATTCCAGTACGTACAAGCTTATGCCTCCTTCAATGATTTGATCTGAATTCGTTGTTATTGGAAAGAGACACGTTAGTTTATGCCTAATAGGGATGTTTACTCCTTCAGTTTTTCTTACATCATTTCACATAAAGCATGGTTGCCGCATTACAAGAAACCACAGCATCTTAGCAGCTGGATTTTAGGATAATCTCTGAGGCCTGATTCAGAGGAGTCCGCTCACCACTGCACATCCCCCTACCAAAACATGGGTCTGCATCACACAGGACTGTGAGTTTCTAGGACCCACAACACACCGTTGGGTAGTCCATCCCACAATGTACATCTGGGAGTCAGTCCATCCCACAATGTACAGCTGAAAGTCCACATCCGTCCCCATCCTGAAAACTTTCAAAGGCTTCACTTCTATCATAGATGTGACTGTGATGTGACTATCAAATATTTGACCTCATGTCAAATACTTTCATTTTCTAGGATGTCTTATGATGCATATTTCGCCTGGCCGATTAGTTCAACGTCACAACGACTGTCTCTCTCTCTCTGATAAGAAGCAACACAATTTCCAATGTACACTACACAGTACTTTATTATATTTTATTTATACAGTACTAATCACATGATTCCTTGACATCAGGGTAATGTTATACAATAATAGAATAGAATAGATATCCACACACTTTCAATAGTTTATCAGCTCTCTATCCAGTAATGTCATGATTATGTCTCTTTTGATAATATTTTTATGTACAGCGCGGTGAGCCCAACCCTAGGCTGGGGTACCGCGCTATAAAAGACCACTAATTATTATTATTATTATATCCATTTGAGAGAAATCAGACATGACCTCTCACATCCAAGTTATCACGTCACACTCAATTCTTAGTTCACTCTCTCGTCCGTGAACATAATACAACCCCACTCTCTCAAAAAATTGTCCCCCTTTTATCACCCAAAACTCCATGCACTCGTGACATGAAAACCTTTCACACTCAAACACTAGCCCCATTTGTCACAAAATCAAAACACACACATTCTCTGATTTCATGACCTTGACAGTGATCTCATGCATTGATCGATCAACCCTGATCATCAATGATGTTATGTTTTCATTGTTTTTATTTCAAACAAGTAACATAAACATATATATACATAAATACAAGTTCTCAATCAGGTGTTGACTTTCTGCTTGCGTCCGGATCACGGTTCATAAACACACACTCTCTGTCCAGTCTCTCTGCACATGTGCGCTGTTTTCTTGGCTGGCTATCAGTACGGGCCAGTCCGCTAGTCCACCATAACAAATGATAAATATATAATTAATAAGATCAGTTCTTAAGGATCAGAACACATCTATCTTACTAGATATCAATATGTAATAATAATGAAATGTCAGGTTATTATTGGAGGCCAGTAGCATCTGGCCATTAGAATTAAGATTGTAAATTCATATGCAGAAGTTGATCTATGCCAGCCCTATATGCATTAGATTTTCTATAATTGTAGACTGATTTCAATTAAGTTTTCTAATTTGATGTAAATATATAAGTCCCATTAATTCCAATGTAATTGGTTGTAGACTTATCTATAGCTATAAGTGCATAATATAAATGAGAATATTTTCCTTTGTGGTTGATTTGAATCTATAAAAGTCACATGAGAGACATTCACCAATATATGTCACATGAGAGACATTCACCAATATGTCACTGAGAGACATTCACCAATATGTCACATGAGAGACAATTACCAGTATATGTCACATGAGAGACATCCACCAGTATATGTCACATGAGACATCCACCAGTATATGTAACATGAGAGACATTCACTAATATATGTCACATGAGAGACATTCACCAATACATGTCATTTCACCACAGCAACAAAATGTTCATTTTCCTATTGAAAATTTAGTTTGTATCTAAAGCAGGCTTTAAAAAAAAAAGTCTCAATCAACTGTAATTTGTTCCTTCACAAATTGGTAGATCACTTATCTCAACTTCAGAATGGTAATTTTGTATTGAAATTTTGCGTAAATTAAAAAAAAAAAATCTTCAGGAATGTCAATTTTAAAAGATTTTCTTCAAAAACTCTGTGCCGAAGCACACCACTTTTCTATTCAGCTCCCCATAGCTTTTAGGCAGTTTTTCATGTCATTCATCTATAATGTGTTACAATTATCACTTAATATTTTAATAAAGTATATATTATTTGATATCCTTCTGTCTTCGCGAGACGATGGAGTAGCTATGTACACTTCAGGGAATAGCTCACTAGGTCAATCCTGGAATGGCAGTGCCGGTTGCATTTCTAGTAGGAGAATATTGACTCCTGGTTAGATTTGGCCTTCCGTATAGTTCTTTTTGTTGCAACGGTTTCAATTCACACATCTTCTACCCTTTTGACTCCATACACTGCTGCTCACCAGCTGGAACGTTGGATGGATCTCCCATTCAATCATTTCAAAGTTGGCTTCCCTCATGCCCCTTTTGCATACATCCATAAATCTCATCCGTGGCCGTCCAATAAGTCGTGTCCTTTCTGCAAATTCTCCATACAGCAACCACTTTTTCTATTCAGCTCCCCATAGCTTTTAGGCAGTTTTTCATGTCATTCATCTATGTGTTATAATTATCACTTAATATAAAGTTGTTCACACTTCACTGCCATATAGGAGCGTACTAAGCACACATACCTGACAGACACTTAGTTTTGTTTTATCAGTTAGATTGAGATTATTCCACACCCGCTTATTCAGCTTAGCCAAAGTTCCTACTGCTTTTACGATCCTGATGTTTACCTCTTTGTCGACGGAGAGAGAACTAGAAATATTGGATCCAATGTATGTGAAATGCTCAACAACCGACAGATTATGGCCCTCAATAGATATGATTGGAGGGGATGGTGCTTTTTAGATCATGAAATTTATTTTCTGTAGACTAATTGAGAGTATTAACTTTTTACAAGCTTGTCATAGATGATTAACTAGCCACTTAAGACCTTCTGTGTGCGATGTTAAGGCGGCATCGCCAGAGAACAGCAGTTCAAGAATTAGTACCCTTTTTACCTTGGTCTTTGCACGAAGGTGGGCGATATTGAACACACACACACATATATATATAGTATATATTGGTCCGCTTAATGCAAATGCATTTTAGTGATGATATGTGCTTTTTGGACTAAATATTTGTTTAAAATTCAAATTTTAATTAATAGTTTAGTCAATGGTAAAAATATTGGTAAATGCAAAGATACTGTGCAATGCTACTTCCCACGGCCGCCATCTTGGTTGCCACGACCCGTCTGCTAAAATCAGGAGGGCAAGACAAAAATGTTTAAATGTAATGAAAAAATTTCTGCCGGTCCATAAATTTCACGGTGAACGTAGCCACTTTATTGTAACCCTCTAGATATACGGCAAGAGGCGTTAACAACCTGAAATTGCTCCCTTTCCTCGCGTAATTCGGCACACACACATTTCATGGTGAGCGTAGCCATTTTATTGAATACATCTAGATATGGACAAGAAGTGTCAACGACCTGCGGTCGCTCACTTTCTTTGCATAATTTCAGCCTGTACATCTTCTATTCCCTCAACTAAAAAATGTTTGGTAAAAAAGCGTAAAAATGAAGAAAAACAATAAAAAAACAATTGTAAAATAATGAAGACCCAACTTACAGATTCATAGAATAAACTTTTTCACACTTTATTTTCAGGTTCCGCCAAAAAGAATATCCAAATATTGTCAGAAAATCAATAAAATTCTATACCAAACCCATTTTCTAACATGGCAGAAAAATTAAAATATTATAATTACCCAATCAATGAAAATTTGAAATTATAATTAACCAACCTAGTCATATTAAGGAAAATTTATCTCTATTAACAACAACATGGGGAGTGAATCCAAAACAGAAACTTAACAAAAACACAAAATGATGGCATGGCGCGTTATCTTTGAATTACCCAAAATATTTAATATTATTTAATTTTAGTAATACTAGTATTAATATTTTAAAGTTTTTATGTATAGTGCAGTACCCCAGCCTAGGGCTAGGGCACAAACTGCCCTTCACCGTCACATAAAAATTAGCAAGTACAGATAATTATAAATTTAAAAACAACAATTTGTAAAAAGCTTGACCTCACCCACCCAAGTACTATCTACCCCTCCCTTTTCTAGCCATGGACAGCACCCAACAGCATGAGCATTGTAGTAATTGTAGTTTAAGTTGGGGGTGGGTGGGTGAGAATGAGTTAGTACAGTAGAGTTTGAAGAGATGGTTTATAATAAATTGCCTAAATTGAGATGCATAGGCTGTACTGTAGGTAGGGTGTCCTTGACCTCTATTTATGATAGACTGATCACTGAGAGTCATCATAAATAAATATTTTTATTATATTAAAATTCATGTTTAGATTTAGAGTGCATCTTCACCTTAGGGCGACTTACTTGGTAATTTGTAAATACTAAACTAATAAAATTAAGATTAAGAAGTGAGGTATAAAATGTTTCAATCACTGATCTGTGATCACAACTTGTGACACAATCACACTCACAAGTGAATCAGAAGTGATCTTTTCATTAATACTTGTTTACTTCACTGACACTGACACCATGAAAAAGATGGCATGGCCATGGCATTCATTGGACTTGGTGCTCACGGAAAATGTTTTTTATCAAATCAATCAAATGCTTTAGTACTCACGTCAGCTCGACTCTTCAAAGTGCTTCGTTTGGGCCGCACTAGCACATCCTTAAAATCAAGTTTAACGTCATTATCTATGTGTGGCATTATGATATGTTGACGAGGTTATTATGTCACAACTTATTAGATGTTATTTTTTCCCGGGATCCAGGGCAGGGCTGCCACTCACTTTTTTTAAATTTCCCAAGATTTGGTCATGAAATTTCCCAAGATTTCCTAAGATAATAAAAGTATTTTTTTTTTTTTAAAGGGGGGGGGGGGGGGGGGGGTTCCTATATCCTTAATGCAATAATAGATTGAATTAATTGCCCCTGAAACACATGGTCCAATAATTGACTGAAATTTATTGAAAAGACATTTAAAAAAATGTTTATCACATAAAAGAAATTAACAATTTCTTTAAAAAAAAATAATTTATATTATTTTATTATTCAAAATATCAATACCCTCTGGAGTTAGGCTACTAAATGTTACCTCCGAATTCTCTGGTAAAAATATCATCTGCAATCCACGTGTAATAGAAGTCACTTGGAAACAAAGCTCACAAGGCTAATCAACACACAATTCCTTTTACAAAGGCAAAAGGTTTTCATCAAAAAATGTGTTTTCTTATTGTAAGTCTGTTGATTAGTAATTGGTTTTGCTAAGCTATTAATCAAAATTTGTTAATAATAATTGTAGTTAAAATAGATTGATTGTATTATGAAAGCAATAAGTATTTTTATTTTTTCTTGTAAATTTATATTATAATGATTTTTTAAAAACGAAACACTGTTTAAAGAAATTTTTCATTTATTTCCTACAATGTATAATTTTTATATCTTAGTTACCTGTCTGTCAATCCACAAATATTTTTTCCAATTAGATGAAAATTAGGCTAGATTTGTTAAAGGTGCATAATATTTTGAACACATTGTATAAGTAATTGAAATAATCCAATTTTACTATGGGTTCTTGATAGAACACTATCATTCACTCTTTGGTTTGTACTGTTTTCGTATGGTTGCTAATGTCTTATATGCATAATAAAGTTTCCGAGCATTCCGCCCCCCCCCTTTAATAACATTTAACACATGGATGTAATTTGCAAATCTTCAACTTTAAAAAAAGAGAGAAAATTAAATTTGTCTTTAATTATTAACTTGTTATTAATTTACAATATTAACTTTAATTTTAGTATAGTTCTTATTTATTTAGAAATGGTTTTAAATATTAAAACCAGAAAAGAAAATTTAAAAAATTAATTTTTTCCTTGTTACTTTAAAAATTAGTTTGCTTTATTTTCACTTTATTTTTTTATCACGTATATTGTTTGCGTTTTTCGAAAAATATAATAAAATCTTCTCCCCAGTTAAGATTTCCCAAGGTTTTGCCCGATTTTCAAAATTATTCCCCAGATCCCAAGGGGGGTCGTGAATTCCCAATATCTTGGGAAATTTCCCAAGGTGTGGTAGCCCTGATCCAGGGCAACATCCTACATTAAAAAATAAAAACGCTTTATTTGTTAGGCGTTAGGTATAAAAAAAATTAACGAGGAAAAAAAAGAGAAAAACCAGATTTCCTCAGCTGTAAAGCATAATTAATAAGAATTTGTTAAATATAAATAACTTATAATCAGGCTTAACTGTGTCCAAATTTCGTTATTTATTTGTTAAATTAATGGTGAATTAGATAGTTAAGTTTTTGTTTATAACTTATTAATTATTATAACCGAGCTTAGCTTGGCAGAGTTTAGTTAAGTTCACCCACAACATTTGAAAGGGGAACAAGGCCAATCCACTTTAGTTTTAGTACATTTTGGTATTAAAGTCCAGAACTATCTAGTTATATTTATTAAATATAAGCACACAAAAAAAAAATACACCAACCGAAAGGCAAATATGATTTAATAAGTACTTGGACTTGGGCATTTTATAATAATTTTGTTGAGATCTAAATTCTAGCAAAAGTTGCCAAAAGTAGCAGCCAGCACGCATTTAGAATGAAAGTAGAGACTGGAGAAATATTAAAGTGAGAAGCTCAACTTTGATAACAATAAAATAACCAAATTAACGTAAATAAGAAAAGAATTCATAACCATTGTGGATGATTGTGGTTGTGAATTTATAACCAACTTGGTTGTGGACAATTAAAAGGGTGCAACGAAAGGGGACACCACTTTCATTATCATATCTCATCCAATGAAATTACAGAGAGTCATCTTGTGCTTGACAGTTATGTTTAAAGATGTCTGCCTACACTACAGATTTGCTTTTTGCACTATTGTTTAGTAAGATTACCTATTAATTAATTGCTTCAATTGTTTTTTTTTCAAAATTAAGTTTTCCAGCGAATAAAAAGAAACTGTTAAATGTATGGAATAGTTTGCCATTATATTATTAAGTAGTTGCCTATGGAGTTTTTGTCTGCTTTAGCCACTTTTGGTATTTGTCAAATTGTCACCGGTGCCGGTGCATGATTAGATTATTAATTAATTTTAATTAAATGATGTATGAAATGAATGATTGGCCAACCAATTTTTTATGTCATAATTATATCGAATGAAAAATTTATAATAAATAAAAATGCAATGGTCTAGGCCTAATTGAAAATGAATTTCCTATGCTAAAGTAAATACAATTATATTCAATACTATTATTATTATTATTAATTATATTATATTATTATTGAGGTTATATTATTAAAAATGGATGATTAAAATTCAAAATGTTATGATTTATGGATTATAATTATGGATCAATTTGTAAAAAAACTAATGCCTCTCTTGAGCCATGGATTATGAGGGCTAGAAAATTGTTACAAAAAAATCTCACTAGTGTAACACCTTCCATACTCCATACTCATACACATATTTAATTAAAAATATTTATAATTTAAGTTTAAGTTTTACCACCCATGCAACTTCAGTATTGTCCATAAACTCATAAACACCAGAAAAACAGTTAGGTCTATTGTAATTTTGTTGTGGAAATGGCAATCTCCACTTTTTAATTTACAGAGGGCAGCGCTATTTTGGATTTTTTTTGCAGATGTTAGTTTTGTTAGTAAATTTTACTTCCACCTTCAATTTTTATTAATTGGGGGAGTGGGATAAATAGCCCTTGTTACAATTATATATATTATATATAATATACATACATACATATAATATATATACATACAACTTAACAAATTTAATCATGAACTTAAAAATTAACATACATTAATTAAATAAAACAAAACAAATGTATAGTCACTCCACCCATTCCAGAACTATTTACATGTCAAGCCTTGGACGGCACCCAGCAGCATAGTTTTTTGGTCAGACGGGGGGAATCAGTCAGATTAGTAGAGTTTAAAGATATGTGTTTTGAGTGCACTTTTGAAGGCTGTGATGGTCGGTATATTGCGGATGTGTAGTGGAAGAGAATTCCATTTTTTGGGGATAAAATATCCTATATTCACTCACAAATCATAATATTCCACAAGAAAATTATTATGTTATCCTCAGTTATCTTAAAGAAATAACACTTTCTGCAACAATAATTCAGGTATTACTAAGATATTACTAAAGAACAATCATAAAAACTTGTATTTACCTCAAGCTAATGATCAGAACTTATTGTGAAACAATATTTGTAACGTAAAATAATTGATACACTAATTTTTTTGTCATAGACTTATGTGACTAAAATACATATCTAGAAAATGATAAAATAAAAAGTATAATCGTCATTAACTAAATGAATCAAATAATCACTGTACTATTTGTTTATTCTAAAAAATGTTAAACAATTCCACAAAAAAATTTGAAATTAATATCTAAAGAATATTATTTCTATTACTACTTTATGGAAATTTAAAAAATTATATATTTAAAGAAAATGAGTTAATTAAATACAAATAAGTGATGAGTCAGCATATTTCATACATTTTTAATAAGGAAAATTACAACAATTTTAATTTTTTGTTGCGGAATATTAACAATAACTAAACATATATTTTGTGGCTCTGTTAAGAAGAACTCATATTTAAATAATTTCCCTGTAAATATTATATTTTTGTCTCATTTTATAATAAAGTTATAGGCGTAAAACAAAAGCAAAATAAGGGTCACAAAATGTGGAGGAAAACCCCATAGTGAAAACGTGGTGTTAAGGTCCTTATTAAAAAATTGATAACTTTTGAACCATTTGAGCTAGAAATATGATCTTGGTGTTTTTGTAAATGATTCTCTAGGCTCTATGCAGCTGTAGTATATTTAAAAATAATAATAAAATAAGCACCAAATAAACGATGTGCAGAATCATCTATTTATTCTTAATGCACATAATTCTCAGATTATAACATATCTACATTAGCTTCACAAATAGAAAAACATATTGTATAGATTAAAGTGATGAATGAATCATTTTTTATAAATATTAATACAATTTTAATTCATCATGTTCCAATGAGGTTTATTTACTAAAAGAAGGAAATGGAGTGAAAATTAAATGAAGGAAGAAGGTGTTCATTTGTGATATATCTGGCTGGCCACAATATTTAAGTTTAACATGCTGGGTTGGCCATCCCTGATTTTATATATTATATAATAAATTTAAATGATTCATACACCTTTCTGTAGCTCATATTTTGTTCCAATAGAAATGAACGTTTTTGATTATCTTATAATAAATATAATTTAAAATAGGAAGACTTATTATTAATAACCAAACAAGTCAGTAAGACCCTGATTTGTTAAAAAACTAAATGCTTAACATAGCTAACATTATCAAGCTATGTTTATCAGTTTATTAGTTTTAAAAATAGTGCCTAAATGTGTGCAAAATTGTTTTATAAAATAATGGCCAAGAATTTTTTTAACCAAGGGGATGCATAATTGTTTTTTAAAACATGGATTGCAGTAACATGAAACCACTGGTGTATTAACAATTTTGCTAAATTAACACATTAAAATGTATTAACAACTTTGCTAAATTAACACATTAAAATGTTTATGTTTACAGAACATTGTATTTGATTTAGTAAGCATTTGATAGTGGTAAAATTAATTTAATGTACCGGGTATTTAAAAAATATTTTTAATATGTCATTATAATTATGCCCTGGTCAGTAACAATTAGGGAAATCATTAAGACAAGAAGTTCAATCATTAAGACAAGAAAATAATTTGTTTTAATAAATAATATTAAAAAAATATTCACCCTTATCTTTTTTTTTATCTACCTAAGTAAACCAACTGCACCACTTTGCGATCAACTATTTCAATAAATATTAGAATAACAATTTTAATATTAGGTGGCTTTGATCCAATCAATTGTGTAAACTGAATTGTGACGATAAAGAAATTTGAAGTATGAATACACAAAAACTCTGTGCTTAGATAAACAAACTTTGATTCTAAACTTAAGAATCTTTTTGAAAAAAGTTGTAACTGTTTTGCTAAGCCATCATTCATTGTAATGCATAATTCTGTTTCACCAGGCCTTGTTACAGTATGCAGAAGTCAATTTGAACTTGATGAGAGGTAAAAGCTATAAATTGACAAATTACTTGATTTTGTTATAAAGCATTTGTAACTGTCACTAATATAAGCACTAGTTTACTATGATTTTAGCTAATGATTTGAATGAGAAAATAAAAGAAAAAAATTCTTTTTGTGAACTTGATTGCTTATTTTAATGGCTACTGTGAAAATAAATTGATAAAAATATGAAATCGGCTTCACAGTGAGATTTTGTAAAAAAATAAAAACAAGCAAAAAAATTTGATTTATCTATAATTTCTCTAAAATAACTAAACACAATAAAAGCAGAATCTGCCTTATACATTAAAATTTTTGTTTTTATACAGACCTTTAACTTTTATATATAGCTATAGATATTCTTCTCCTTTTGCTGAACAGCTTCATGTTATGCATTTGCACCAATAATTTCAGGTTTTTAGAGTACAGAAAACATGGGATGTGGCTTGTTGAGGTAAGAGTATATTTTACTGTGCAATATGGCAGAATTAGATAAAGTACTAAAATAATCAAAAGCCTCCTACACAGCAATACAAAGGAAATAACTTGCAGCTTCATAAGTTTATAAACCAATTTAAGAGACAACTCTCTTCCCATACTCTTAATCAGTGTTTTGTATTTTTTCTTTAAAATGAAGTTTTATGCACCTTGGTGTGGACACTGCAAGAAGCTGGAACCCATCTTCAAGGATGTAGCTAAAGAACTTCAAACCACCAACAGTGAAGTGAAAGTGGCAAAACTAGATTGTACAAGATATTCCCAGATAGCTTCAGAGTTCTCTGTCAAAGGATTCCCAACTATCATGTTGTAAGTTCTATGTCTGCTACTGTAAAAATATGCTTGTGAAAAAGATTTCTTCTGTTATGAAAAGACTTATAAAAGACTTAGATAAAATTATTTTGATTTAGATACATCAATGTAGAAAGAAGTTTTAATGTATTCTCCAATTTTATTTTCCTAAGCGCTACTGTAAATGAAGATTGCATTTTAAATCCTATACACACTTGATTGCTTTCACATTTTTTTAATAAGGCATGGTATAAAACTATTAATTTCAATTAATAGCTTATATGCTATCTTATTTTTTGTTCACATTTTTTTGCACCCAGCATTAGTGGAGACAGAACATACACACACAGAGGGGACAGAACAAAAGAAGATATCCTGGAATTTGTTTTAAAAGCTCAAGGGTAAGTCATCTCTAGCATTATTTGTTACTCCTCAATGTTCTTATTTACCTTAATTAAGAAATATGATCTTAAATGAGTCATATCTCCCAATCACAGACTTATAATAGAAACTGTGATATATTTGTTATACTACTGGGGAACAGGTCATGATGGGGACTATAACATGGTTTGTAATGTTCTTTCCAGACCCAATGTGAGAAAACTGACCAGCATTGGCAAGTTCAATGAGGCCTTGAGTCAACACAGCGACTCAGTCTTCTTTTTGTATATTGGAGATGATGATGAATATGAAGATCTCTATGTGAGTATTTGGAGCAATGAATATATCGTATAGTTTTAAACGTCACATTTTATTATGATTATTTTGATCCATTTTTCTGTTAGAATGATAGTTTACCTTTTTTTCAGAATTAAAATGCCAAAACTGTATTGATTTTAAGAAATGGGTCATGTGTTGTGAAGAGTATGTTAAGTTTAATATCTTTTCATAATCTTATGTTTGAGAGTTTAATATTGAAATAATGAATAAAACAAATAAAACTATTTCTTTTATTTTTTGTTTGTTCCAGAAAAAATATGTCAGTGCAGCTGAAACACATGCAATCCATTCTTACTTTTATTTTGGAAAGAGACATATATTAGAAGTGAGTGATTATATTTTCTTCAAGGAATTATTATTCCAGAATCTTAATATTTATGAAAAACTTTAAAAATAAATCAAATACTTTAATTTTTACTTCCGTTTACAAACATACTTCTGCATTTAAATGTGCATTGGATGTCAATCAATCCATTTATCATCATATAAAAAAAGTTTATTGGCTATAACTCCAATGCCGATATTCGGAATTGGTTAAAAAAAATAATTGTGTTATGTTTTATGTAGCTCATGTTAATTTTTTTTTGGCAAAGATAGAGTTGTTATTTCCCCTTTCAGTATATTTTTGATCTTCAAAATAGCTTTGAGATAATTAGCTTTAAAAAAAAGTTTAATTAAAAAAATATACTCTGGGTACGTTATAAAGGAAGGGAAGTTTATTTGGAGCAAGGATTAGCATAAGATTAATTTAGCATACTGATTTTTATTAGCCTTTTATTTATCATAATTTATACAAAGATGAAATTGTTTAGAGAATTCAATTGGCGGATATTTTACACATTAATGTCTACTTTAACTTGACAGAACATATCACCAAAAAAACATCCAACACTTCTGGTTTTCAAGGATGGCAGAAACTATGAATATGACTGTGAGTTGTTTTTCTTTTTAAGATAGGTCAAGAAATGATTTAAACAAACGACAGCATGAAAAAATTAATTTTGAATTTAGCCCCCCCCCCCCACATAATTTTATCCATTGATTTTGTTTACATTTTTCTGATTAAGAAACATCTTTTGAAAAAAAATTTATCTAATCCTTAAATTATAAACTTTGACTTAGATGTGCTCAGATCAATGGGGAGTAATCCATCAATTTATCGACTCTTTAATTTAATATGGGTTCTCTCCTCTGCTTGGATTCCTAAGACAAATGAGAAGTATTAAATTAAGTGAAAAATTATTGCAATAGTTAATTCAATTCACTGAAAAACAGTTGAATTTTCAGCCGGTGAGGGTGTTGCAACTGCCAGTGCAATACAAAATTGGATTAACCGAGAACGCTATGCTGCTTTTCCCAAGATGTCAGGACCTGGTCTCAATGAGATGGCCAGCGTGGCCAACTACCTGGTGATATTGGCAGTAGAGCAAGGGGATTTGAGCAACCCTAGCACCACATCAGCGAGGTAAGTTTTGGACTCTAAAGGGTTTTATATTCATGTTCCAACCATTAAATGGGCTCTCTTTAAACTAACATTTTGCTTGACTCACTGTGCTGTTGACAATAATTCTAGTCAATTTCTTTTAGTTGATAATAATTCTAGTCAATTTCTTTTAGTTGATAATAATTCTAGTCAATTTCTTTTAGTTGATAATAATTCTAGTCAATTTCTTTTAGCTGACAATAATTCTAGTATATTTCTTTTAGTTGACAATAATTCTAGTCAATTTCTTTTAGTTGATAATAATTCTAGTCAATTTCTTTTAGTTGACAATAATTCTAGTCAATTTCTTTTAGTTGATAATAATTCTAGTCAATTTCTTTTAGTTGACAATAATTCTAGTCAATTTCTTTTAGTTGATAATAATTCTAGTCAATTTCTTTTTGTTGACAATAAGTCTTAATCAATTTCTTTTAGTTGACAATAATTCTAGTCAATTTCTTTTAGTTGATAATAATTCTAGTCAATTTCTTTTTGTTGACAATAAGTCTTAATCAATTTCTTTTAGTTGACAATAATTCTAGTCAATTTCTTTTAGTTGATAATAATTCTAGTCAATTTCTTTTTGTTGACAATAAGTCTTAATCAATTTCTTTTAGTTGACAATAATTCTAGTCAATTTCCCCCACACACACACACACACTTTCCATGCCCAATTTGTAGCTGTTAGTTGAGTTTGGTGGGTTTTGAGGATATTCCTCCAGCCCGAGAATAGCTTCCTGTCTGATAAGTCCAGGATGCCTAGCAAGCTCACCAAATAGTATTTCTCAATTTTTTAATGCAAATGTTATGAGTTTATACAGCATTGACTCCAATGCTCCACTTCCTTTTTATAATGATATATTCTGATGTTATTTTTAACAGGTAAAGTTATCCTTGAAATACATATTTTCAAACAGATTTCAATAGTACTTACAAAAGTGAAGCATTTTATACTAGGGTTTAACCAGAGTCAGTTTTTTTTTACACCGGGTCCGGGAATTTTGAGAAAATACCCGGTGGATCCAAGTGTTAAAAAAAAAAAGAGTTAAATTCTCATTTTCTATAATATGCAACGTAATCTACTGCCCTATGTCGTAATGCAAGTGCATTGCCTTCATCAACCGTTTATGTTAAGAAAAAACTCACTGATAGAAACAGGCAGTTGCTGGATCCCAGAATAAAGATGAAATTATACAAAAACCTGTAGACAGAGAAGATGTTATCTTCATTTATTTGATAAAAGCAGTGACATTAAAAAAAAAGCCTTTCTAAAGATAAATAATCAACATATTTACCAGAGTTGAGATGTTACGCATAAAGCTGCTGGCATAAAGCTTCTGGCATAAAGCTTCTGGCATAAAGCTTCTGGCATAAAGCTTCTGGCATAAAGCTTCTGGCATAAAGCTTCTGGCATAAAGCTGCTGGCATAAAGCTGCTGGCATAAAGCTGCTGGCATAAAGCTGCTGGCATAAAGCTGCTGGCATAAAGCTGCTGGCATAAAGCTGCTGGCATAAAGCTGCTGGCATAAAGCTGCTGGCATAAAGCTGCTGGCATAAAGCTGCTGGCATAAAGCTGCTGGCATAAAGCTGCTGGCATAAAGCTGCTGGCATAAAGCTGCTGGCATAAAGCTGCTGGCGGTGTGACAGAAGAACAGGAACAATAACAACACCAAATAAAATTAGCCTCCCCCTTAAGAAACAAAATCAACCTATTAATTCAGTCATGCATGACAGTCTTCTTTTCACTCACTACTATTAATATCAAACATGTGGAAATGTGGAGTTTGGGGGGAGGGGCGGAGTTGAATAGGAAGCTGGACGAACCAGAAGCAATATATATATATATTTATATGGATACATAATATTTGTATATTCTTACAGCAGCATTCCTGTAGCCGTTATAGAATGCATTTTCATATAATAAGTTTTTAGAAAAATCCTCATCCTTGTGCAAAGCAACTTACTCTTGAATGTTGATTTGAGCCTACTTCCATTTGTATGCAGAAATGATACAGATGTGTTTTAGAATTATTTGACATAAACCATGTTAAAACTGAAGTCAGATCGGTGTTATGTTGAAAAAAGCTATGCATAAATATTTATGCGACACACCACCATGTTATAAAACGGTAATACTCTTCAGAGTTATGGGATGCACAGTGTTATGAAAGTGCTACACAGATCAGAGCCATGTGATACATCACAATTGTAAAAATTGGCTACACATATCACAGTTATGCAATACATCACAATTGTATAAAATGGCTTGCCATTTAGAGCTATTATTTGCATCAATTTTATGAAATTGAAGTAGAGAGAAATAAAATGATCAAATTTGTAACACATGATTTGATAACCTATGTATATGTGAGGAACTTTGTAAATTATCTTTTAAAATTAAGTTTATTAAAAATTGCCACCAATAAGTTTCAATAAAGCCTTGTCAGTTCCATTTTTCTAGAAACTACTTTTCATATGAAATGTTTTCTCCCTACAACATGCCACCCTCTCCAAATGAAACTGCTCCTACAGCTTTCAGAAAATTCAAGTAAAAAAATATGTTTATCTGGGCTGTTGAGACCCCTACCCCCCCCCCCCCAACCTCGTCCAACTACAGCATAACATATGATTTGATGAGGAGTATTTTAATGATACATATATATGTATATAAAAATCAAATAAAAAAAAATTTTTATCTGGGCTGTTGAGACCCCTACCCCCCCCCCCCCCAACCTCGTCCAACTACAGCATAACATATGATTTGATGAGGAGTATTTTAATGATACATATATATGTATAAATATGATGTGCCCATGTGTATATTAGCACTGTCTATGATGACAGTACATGAATTATAATGTGTATATGATTTCAGCATATAATGGCAATGCTATGAGGATTATTATATGATGAAGTGTAGGATGACTGATAAAAGATGGCCCCCACACCTGAATATTCCATACCATTTTGTGTATTCCTGGAATTAAAGAACATTCTATGACCTTGACTTTAACTCTGGCTATTAATGTTGCATGCCTTCTCAACAGTCATGGCTTTATAATGATTACTGCAATGATATATTTACAGGATCATAGTTATTAGTTATATATTTAGGCATACTTAACTAAACATAACCATTATCAGTGGCTAGACTGACATGACATGAGGGACGGTAACTCTTATCAGACGTGACGTGACAGCAGGGACGGTAACTCTTATCAGACGTTTGAAATATAACTAAAATTCAAATGTGTCATCAGTGTATGTCACTTTTAAATTTTTATTTATTTTTTTTATTTTTTTTTTTTATAACCGCCTGACAAAATGAAGTTACTTCCCTATCCTTTTAATGTGGAACTGCCTAGAATTGCCAGTACAGGTTTTAAATACATATCCTTTCAATTTGTAACTGTCTAGAAGCCCCACTACGGGTTTCAATTTATGGGATCCACTGAAAATCTGCTTTGAGAGGCACACACTGATCTAAGTTTAGCTTATCCTCTAGTTTAAATATAGCCACGTTTGCTCTCACCCCAACATTTGAGTTCACGATTTGTAGTTGTGCTCATCAACCCCCAGTATTCTCGTGACATACAACCATGTCCCGCAGAGCAGCTTGGTGCCAAGGACTTCTTTATGCACAATTTTTTTTTTTTTTAATTTATTTCGGTCCGTCGTCGCGCCCCCCCCCCCTCTTGTCTGGTAAAGCTATTTCAAAGAATGCACCGAAAACACGACTCATCATAAAAAAAGCACAAGGTTGAATGGCGCTGGCTGAGAATGCCAAAACTTCCCCGGCTGGTTGTCACAGAAACGCTCCGGGCGAGACACAGAGGTTGCTTCTCGGTAATCCGAGCCGGCCCATCAAACGTCAGCCGTCCTGATCGTAAACAAACAAGACATGATATTGAAGTACTCAAGCTAGTTTAACATTTATTTTCTCAAGGGATGATGAATGATCACGTCAGTAGACAGTGTTTCTTAACATTTGAAAAAAACCAACACCACACCCCACCAAAAAAAAAAAAAAAAAACAAAAAAAAAAAAAAATAAAAAAACCACACCCCCCCCCCCCCCCAAAAAAAAAAAAAAAAAAACAAAAAAAAAAAAAACAAACAACAAAACAAACAAAACAAAAGAAAACAACCCCCCCCCCCACACACACACACAAAACCCGCCTGGCGGCGTTCAGATGGCTGCCCTGTACTCACTTTTCAATGTATTGCCAGTTACCTTATTTTCTTCTTTCTATTTACCCTACTTTGGCATTTTTTTAAAAAGATATACGCTTTGTAAGACCCTAAAGGAATTACACTTACAGTGGGTGATATCGTCAATCATCGAACTTTTGGTCAAATGCTATGCCGTATATTTCACATAGATTCGTATTGGGCGTCAAATTTGTGTTTTTTGGGGGGTTTTTTATGGTGGGGGCGCGGTTTGGCCTGTTGCATTCCCTTACACCACACCGAGTTTACATTATCAGTCATACAAGACATGTTCAAGTTGAGATTGAGAACCACTGTTGTGAAGGCCCGAGGCCCAAAAAGTTGACGGAATGTTGCCAAGACGGTGGCAATGTTCCGGGAACCCAATACATGCCACCGAGCATCAACTCACTTAATGCGCCGTGTCACGAAAGCAAAGTTTGGATTTTCCCAGTTTCTGGAGGATTTTCTTGTTTTTCCTTTTCACAAAAATGTTGATCTAATTTTAATTATGCTTTTCGGCAGTTTTATGGTTTTTTTGGTTTGTTTTGTTGGTGGTAGGGGAGGCAGTACAATAGTCAGTAGTTTTGTGTATGATTCATGGATGTTTGTGGAGGTTACATGCTTCCAAAATCGGGTCAGAGTAAGCGTACGTGTAAACACCGTCTGCTTGAAAGGGGCTCACACTTGTGGTTGTCCTAACCCTTTCAAGCTGCGCATAAACTGACCGTGAGTCTTCAATGTTGCCCACCCGCTGCTCACTGGGCGGTTTGAGTTTG